GTTAAGAAATACAGTATCCAGCACACAGAAGTTTTGATGTACTTTTAACTGTTGTAGCTAATGAAAGAATGTACTTACTGACACATTTGAGCAATATTTTGATTATCTCAAACTCATTTACATGGACAATATTTAAAGCAGGGGCAGGCAATTATGGATCTCCAGATGTTCTTGGACTGAAACTCTCATAACTCTAGCCAGCATGGCCAAGGGTGAGAAATTATGGGAGTTACAGGCCAATAATACCCTGAGATTCCTGGTTACTTAGCCTTGATTTAAAGATTGCCCTCTACCTACACAATCAAGAATGCATTCATTCAATACCTCTTGCTCACTTTATTTGGTCAGTACTTTTCTCCGCTCTATTAAAACTTAGTAACGCCCTGCTGCTATTGTATAGGCTGTTGTCTCATAATCAAAACTATGATTAGGGTTCCAGACCTGTACAACTCAACTAACTCTGTCATTCTGAGAGAAAGCACATGTAAAAAATCCTATATGAGACACTCCTGCAAATATGCTGCCCTTAGCAACAATGCAGCAACACAACACCGTTTGTTTGTTCTAGAAAAGTAAGCCTCTGGCAATGACAGAATTCAAACTACAAGTCCTATTAGCAACACATTCAGGAATTACTGAAGCTGATGGCTCACAAATGAATCCTCTGACTCTAATTTTTTAAGCCAATTCTGGGTTTGTGTGCAAATACCTTGGGAGTGGGAAACTACTACTAACCTCTTCTGCACCCCTCCAGACGTCATTATTATGACAGACTTTCTAAGGCCATTACGGGTTGAGCCTCCCTTATGTGAATTCTGAAATCCAAAATACTCCAGAAACCAAAATTTTCTTCATGGATGGCTAACACAGTGACACCTTTGCTTGCTGATGGTTCAGTGTACACAAACTTTGCTTCATGCACAAAAGTATTTAAAATATTGTATAATTACCTTCAGGCTATGTGTACTGAAGAATGTAAAAGAGGAACGTGCCAAGGTAGGCTAAATACTGAACATCAAGAATACAAAAATAATGACCACGGAAGATCTACAAGGGTTCATCCTTGATAATGAGAAAATTGAAACAAAAAGTTCCCATACCTTGAACCAAATATTGATCAGAATGATGACTGCAGTCAAGAAATGAGAAGATTAGGAATGGGAAAGGCAGCTAAAAATAAGAGCAAAGATATAATTCTGAACACTAAAGTGAGGATAGTCCAAGCCATCATATTCCCCATCACCATGTATGGATCCGAGAGCTGGACAGTGAAGGAAGCCAAGAGAAGGAAAATCAACTCATTTGAGATGTGATGAGGATACCGTGGATGGCCAAAAAGAAAAAAAAATGGGCCCTTGAACAGATCAAGCTTGAATTCTTCCTGGAAGCCAGGATGGCAAAACTGTTGTACTTTGGCCACATCATGAGAAGGCATGACTCATTGGAAAAAACAATATTGCTAGGAAAGATAGGAAGCAGTAAAAAGAGAGGAAAATTGCATGCTAAGTGGACAGACTCAATCAGGGAGGTCATAGGCCTGAA